TGAATGGAAATGCACAGGAAACCCATAGCAATGAAAGGAAACGGGACTCAAATCAATGGAGCAGACCAGAAGGAAGCAAAAAATGGTCAAACAGAAAAAAATGAAGAAGCAAGAATTCAAAAAAAATGACGAGAGGCTTAGGAACCTCCAGGACATCTTTAAACGCTCCAACATCTGAATTATAGGGGTACCAGAAGGGGGGAGAGGCACAGCCACCAGTGGAAACCTTATTTGAACAAATAATAAAGGAGAATTTCCCCAATCTGGTAAAGGTAATAGACTTCCAGGAAATCCAGGAAGCTCAGAGAGTACCAAAGAAGTTGGACCCAAGAAGAAACACTCCAAGGCACATCATCATTATATTAGCCAAGATTAAAATGAAGGAGAGAATCCTAGAAGCAGCAAGAGATAAGGGGACAGTCACCTACAAAGGAGTTCCTATCAGTCTGTCAGCAGATTTCTCAAAAGAGACCTTACAGGCAAGAAGGGGCTGGAAAGAGGTATTCCAAGTCATGAAATCCAAAGACCTACATCTAAGATTGCTCTATCCAGAAAAGCTTTCATTTAGAATGGAAGGACAGATAAAGTGCTTCTCAGATAAGATCAAATTCAAGGAGTTCATCATCACCAAGCCCTTATTATATGAAATGTTAAACGGACTTACCTAAGAAAAAGAAGTTAAAAAAACATGAACAGTGAAAGGTCAGCAAACTCACATTTATTAACAACCACACCTAAAACAAAAGCAAACTAAAAGGACAGCTAGATCAGGAGTGGAATCATGGAAACAAAGATCTCAAGGAGGGTTAGCAACAGGGGAGTGGGAGGAGGAGAAGGGGGGAGAAGGTACAGAAAATAAGTAGCATAGACAGTAGATAGAAAATAGATGGGGAGAAGGCGAGAATAGTATGGGAAATATAGAATTTAAAGAACTTGAGACACATGGTCATAAACTAAAGGGGGTAATGGTGGGGATGGGGGGTAGGGTGGAGGGGAATGAAGGGGGGAATAGAACAACTGTAATGGCATAATCAATAAAAAAATTTAAAAAAAAATTTAAAAAAAGACAGTATATCCTTAAATGACTAAAGCAGCAATGGGGGAAATTAAAGAGCCTGTTTGGCAAGTTTTCCTTAAAAAAAAAAAACAGCTAGTTTGAATTAAGATGTGCTATAAGTAATAAACATTTTTTAAAATAACAAATATAAAATGTCCTTAAAAAAAAAGAACAAATTGTAATGGCATAATCAATAAAAAAGTTTTTTTATTTTATTTAGTTATTTTTCAAGTACAGTTTTTTTGTCTATTTCTCCCATCCGAGCCTCCCCCGCCCCTTGCTCCCCACCTCCCTCCCATTTCCACCCCCCTTAGTTCTTGTCCCTGTGTCCTTCCTATTTTTTCCTCCAAATCCCTCCCCCTTTTCCCCCTTAACTTTCCTTCCCTCTCCCCTCTGGTCGCTGTCCCCTTGTTCTCTATTTCAGTGTCTTTGTGTTTTTTTTTTTTTTCTGCTTGCTTGTTCGTTTTGTTGTTTAGCTTCCTGTTAAAGGTGAGATCATATGGTATTCGTTTTTTAACACCTGGCCTATTTCACTCAGCATAATGCTTTCCAGTTCCATCCATGTTGTTGCAAAAGGTAGTAGCTCCTTCTTTCTCTCTGCTGCATAGAATTCCATTGTGTATATGTACCACAATTTTTCGATCCATTCATTTACTGATGGGCAGCTAGGTTGCTTCCAACTCTTGGCTATTGTAAATTGTGCTGCTATGAACATTGTGGTGCATAGGTTCTTTGATATTAATGTTTTAGGACTCTTAGTATATAATCCTAGCACTGGAACTGTTGGGTCAAAAGGCAGGTCGATTTTTATTTTTCTGAGAAAATTCCATACTGTTTTCCATAATGGTTGTACCAGTCTGCAATCCCACCAACAGTGAACTAAGGACCCCTTTTCCCCACAACCTCTCCAACATTTGTTGTTTGTTGCTTCATTTATGATAGCCATCCTGACCAGTGTAAAGTGGTATCTCATTGTGGTTTTAATTTGCATCTCTCTGATAGCTAATGATATTGAGCATCTCTTCATGTGTCTCTGGATGTTCTGTATGTCCTCCTTGGAGAAGTGTCTGTTCAAGTCCTTTTCCCATTTTTTAATTGAGTTGGGTGTCTTCTTAGAGTGCAGTCGTGTAAGTTATTTGTGTATTTTGGAGATTAAACCTTTGTCTGAGGTATCATTGGCAAATATGTTTTCCCATACAGTTGGTTGTCTTGCTAATTTAATACTGTTTTCTTTAGCCACGCAGAAGCTTTTTATTTTGATGAGATCCCATTTGTTTATTCTTTCCTTTATATTCCTTGCTCTAGGGGACATATCAGTAAAAAAGTTGCTGCGTGAAATATCTGAGATTTTCTTGCTGATGTTCTCCTCTAGGACTTTAATGGTGTCATAGCTTATATTTAAGTCTTTTATCCACCTTGAATTTATTTTGGTGTATGGTGTAAGTTGGTGCTCAAGTTTCATTTATTTGCACGTAGCTGTCCAGTTCTCCCAACACCATTTGTTGTATAGGCTATCTTTACTCCATTTTATGTTATTGCCCCCTTTGTTGAATATAATTGACTGTAGAGAGTTGGGTTGATTTCTGGGCTCTCTGTTCTGTTCCATTGGTCTATGTGCCTGTTTTTATGCCAGTACCAGGCTGTTTTGATTACAGTGGCCTTATAATACAGTTTAATATCAGGTATTGTGATCCCTCCTACTTTGTTCTTCTTTCTCAAAAGTGCAGCTGCTATTCAGGGTCGTTTATGGTTCCATATAAATTTTTGAAGTGTTTGTTCTATGTCTGTGAAATATGCCATTGGTACTTTAATAGGTATTGCATTGAATGTGTATATTGCTTTGGGTAGTATGGACATTTTGATGATGTTAATTCTTCCAATCCATGAACAAGGTATATGTTTCCATTTGTTTTTGTCTTCCTTGATTTCTTTCTTCAGAGCTGTGTAGTTTTCTGCATACAGGTTTTTTACCTCCTTAGTTAGGTTTATTCCCCGATATTTTATTTTTCTTTTTGCTATATCAAATGGGATTTTTTTCTTGATTTCTGCTTCTGCTGATTCATTGTTGGTATACAAAAATGTCTTTGATTTATGGATATTGACTTTGTAACCAGCTGTTTTGCCAAACTCATTAATTAGTTCAAGCAGTTTTGGGGTAGAGTCTATAGGATTTTCCATGTACACTATCATGTCATCTGCAAACAATGACAGTTTTGCTTCCTCCTTTCCTATTTGGATGCCTGTTATTTCCTTTTCTTGCCTGATCGCTGTGGCTAAAACTTCCAATACTATATTGAATAGAAGTGGTGAAAGTGGACATCCTTGTCTTGTTCCTGATCTTAGTGGAAAAGCTTTTAGTTTTTGCCCATTGAGTATGATATTGGCTGTAGGTCTCTCATATTTGGCCTTTATTATATTGAGGAATGCTCCCTGTATTCCCACTTTGCCGAGTGTTTTTATCATAAATGGGTGTTGTACCTTATTGAAAGCTTTTTCCGCATCTATTGATATGATCATGTGATTTTTGTCTTTGCTTTTATTTATGTGATATATTACATTTACTGATTTGCAAATATTGAACCATCCTTGCATACCTGGGATGAATCCCACTTGGTCTTGGTGTATGATCTTTTTGATATATTGTTGGATGCGATTTGCCAATATTTTGTTGAGGATTTTAGCATCTATGTTCATCAGCGATATTGGTCTGAAGTTTTCTTTCTTTGTTGTGTCTCTACCTGGTTGTGGAATTAAGATGATGCTGGCTTCATAAAAAGAATTTGGGAGTTTTCCATCCTTCTGGATTTTTTGGAATAGTCTGTGGAGAATAGGGGTTAGCTCTTCTTTAAATGCTTTGTAGAATTCTCCTGTGAACCCATCTGGTCCAGGGCTTTTGTGTGATGGGAATTTTTTGATTACTGCTTCAATTTCTTTTGCTGTTATTGGTTTATTTAGATTTTCTGCTTATTTTTCATTGAGTTTTGGGAGATTATATTTTTCTAGAAATGTGTCCATTTCCCCTAGGTTCTCAAATTTCTTGGCATACAGGTCTTCATAGTAATTTCTTACCATCCCTTCTATTTCTGTGGTATCAATTGTTATCTCTCCTCTTTCATTTCTGATTGTGTTTATTTATGTCCTCTCTCTTCTTTTCTTGATGAGCCTACTTAAAGGCTTGTCTATTTTGTTTATCTTCTCAAAGAACCAACTCCTGGATTTATTGATCCTTAGAATTGTGCTTTTAGTTTCTATGTCATTTAAGTCTGCTCTGATCTTGGTTATTTCATTCCTTCTCCTTGTTCTGGGCTGTCTTTGTCATTGTTCCTCGAGTTCTTGCAGGCGTAGGGTTAGGTTGTTTGTTTGAAATGTTTCTATCTTCTTTAGGTAGGCCTGTATTGCTATAAACTTCCCTCTCAGGACTGCCTTGGTTGTATCCCATAAGTTTTGGGTTGTTGTGAGATCATTTTCATTTGTTTCCAGAAACGTTTTGATTTCTTCCCTAATTTCATTCTTGACCCATTCGTTGTGTAATAGCATACCATTCAGTCTCCATGATTTTGGGTGCTTTGGGTTTTTTTCTTTGGGGTTGGTTTCCAATTTCAGTCCCTTGTGGTCAGAGAAGATGCTTGGTATGATTTCAATTTTCTTGAATTTTTTGAGGCTCATTTTGTGTCCTATCATGTGGTCTATCTTTGAAAATGTTCCATGTGCATTTGAAAAGAATGTGTATTTAGCGTCTTCGGGATGAAGGGCTCTATATATATCAGTTAAGTCCATTTCATCTAGGGTGTTGTTTAATGCCACAATATCTTTGTTGATATTTTGTTTGGAAGATCTGTTCATTTTTTATAGTAGGGTGTTCAAATCCCCTACTATAATTGTGTTGCTGTCAATATCTTTCTTGAAGTCCTCTAAGATTTTCTTGATATATTTGGGTGCCCCTATGTTTGGTGCATATATGTTTACAATGTTAATGTCTTCTTGGTGAATTCTTCCCTTGAGTATAATGAAGTGACCTTCTGGGTCTCTATTAATGGCTCTTTTTTTGAAGTCTATTTTGTCCGATATGAGAAATGCTACCCCAGCTTTTTTTTCTTGTCCATTTGCTTGGGAAACTTGTTTCCAGCCTTTCATTTTTAGTCTGTGATGGTCTTTTGTCCTGAGGTGGGTCTCTTGTAGGCAGCATATGTGTGGGTTATGCTTTCTTATCTATTGAGCTATTCTGTGTCTTTTGATTGGAGCATTTAATCCATTTACTTTTAAGGTTATTATTGATAGGTACTTATTCATTGCCATTTTTGTACCTGTGTTCCTCTCTGTCTCCCTCTTTTCCTTCCTTCCCTTAAAGCAGTCCTTTTAGTATTTCTTGTAGAGCTGGTTTGGTGGAGGCGTATTCTTTTAGGCTTCTTTTGTCTTGGACGCTCTTTATTTGGCTTTCTATCTTGATTGAGAGCCTTGCTGGGTAAAGTAGCCTTGATTGTAGGCCTCTGGTTCTCATTACTTGGAATATTTCTTGCCATTCTCTTCTTGCTTGGAGTGTTTCCATTGAGAAGTCAGTAGCTAACCTTATTGGGGCTCCCTTGTATGTTACTTCTTTTTTCTCCCTTGCTGCCTTTAAGATTCTCTCCTTGTCTTGGAATTTTGCCATTTTGATGATGATGTGTCTTGAAGTGGGCCTCCTTGTGTTATTCTTGATTGGGACTCTCTGTGATTCCTGGATTTGTGTGACTTTTTCTCTTATCAAATTAGGGAAATTTTCTCTCATTACTCGTTCAAATACATTTTCTATCCCTTGTTCTTCTTCTTCTCCTTCTGGTATTCCTATTATTTGGATATTATTACGTTTCATACTGTCTTGCATTTCTCTTAATCCCTCTTGATTCTTTCTGAGCCTCTTTTCATTTTCTTACTCTTTCAGTGAGATGCTTTCTACCTTGTCCTCCAACTCACTAATCCTATCCTCTGCTTCATCTATCCTACTTTTGAAACTTTCTACTGTGTTCTTCAATTCAGAAATTGTATTCTCCATTTCCTCTTGTCCCTTGCTGATATTTTCTATTTCTTTTTTCATGTTGATGTAGTTTGCAGAGAGATCATTGTAGTTCCCCTGTAGTTTCTGATAGCTCATTGTGAGCTCTTTGAACTTCATAATAACCAGTGCTTTGAATTCACTATCTGATAGTTGATTAGCCTCTGTTTCATCTAACATTCTTTCTGAAGTTTCTGCTTTTTCTTTCATTTGGGGATTGTTTCTTTGTCTTCCCATTGTTTGAGACTCTTCTTTTTAGTCTCAGCTTCTAAAATTGATCTGTTCTGACACCCTGGGTTTATGGTGTGAACTTCTGTGGTATGATACCTGTGAAGTTCAGTGGTGCAGACTCCTTGAAGTTTCTTGATGTTCTCTGTCTCCACCTCCTCTCACGCTGGTCCCCGTGCTGGTCGCCTACCACTGCTGACTGTCCCAGCTCTAGTAGCTGACTCCTCCAGCACCCAGGCCCATTACTACGGCAGCAGCACAGAGGCCAAGAATGTCCCAGCTCCCATAGCTAACTCCTCTGGCGCCCAGGGCCATCACAGGGGTTTGGAGTGTCCCAGCTTTCGTACCTGACTCCCCGGAGTCCAGTCCCGTCGCTATGGCAGTGGCACAGGGGCTGTGAATGTCCCAGCTCCCATAGCTGGCTCCCCAGCGCCCTGGCCTGTCTCTATGGCAGTGGCACAGGGGTCTCCAGTGTCCCAGCTCCTGCAACTGACTCTTCTGTTGCCCAGGCCGGTAGCTATGGCAGCGGCACAAGGGCCGAGAATGTCCCTGCTTCTGTTCCTGACTCCTCTGTCTCCCAGGACTGTCACAGGGGCTTGGAGTGTCCGGCTCCCGTACCTGACTCCCCAGGTCCCAGGCCTGTTGCTCTGGTGGCAGCACAGGGGCCGCGTGAGACCCAGCTCCAGTAGCTGACTCTGCCGCCATCTGGTGTTTCAATGTTGGTCACAATCTCTGGTCTTTTAATTTCGTAAATGCTGGGTAACCGATGGTTTATTGTACTGTTTCTCTATAGATCTGCCAGTATTTTCACCCATGAGTACAGGAGCTAGAATCAGCTCCGTCCTACTCCATCGCCATCTTCCCAGCATCCTATAATTAATAAAATTTAAAAATAAAAATAAATATTTAAAAAATGTTTTTAAGGTTCATCCATGTTGGATTATAGCATGTTTCATAATTTCCTTCATTTTTAAGGCTGAATAACATTCCACCATATGTATATAACACAGTTTGTTTGTTCATTCATCTGTTGATGGATATTAGGATTGCTTCCATCTTTTGGCTATTGTGAGTAATGCTACTATAAACATCAGTGTACAAGTATCTGTTTGAGCTTCTACTTTCAATTCTTTAGGGTATATATCTAAAAATGGAAGTGCTGGATTATATGGTAATTATATTTTTAATTTTTTGAGGAATCTTCAGTCTCTTCTGTTGTAACTCTTCCATTTTACACTTTCTCCAGCAATGCACAAGAATTCCAATTTTTCTACATCCTCGGAAGATAGTAATCTTTTAATCTCCACATTAGTCAGAAAACTGAGGTTCAGAGAAATGGTGACTTGCTCACAATTACACAGCTACTAAAAGTAGCTGATCCTGCATGGGAAGTTGAGATTCTTGACTCTGAGTCCATCACACTTCCTGGCCCCCACAGTGGCCTCAGATTCAGAAGAGTAAAAATAGAAGTCTATAAAAACCTAAAGCAGGCAGAACTATATCTGGGAAAGGCTTTGTTTCTGGGAGTTACCACTCCAGTTGTTCTTTTAATAGTGACAGCTCCACAGACACTGCTGGGAACTTTTGGAGTGGAAATGTGTGTGCTTAATTGACAAGAGTCAGTCTTATTGACTAAGAAAACATTTCATCCCTTCAGTAAGTCACCATTTATTCACTGAACAATTGTTTGCTGAATTCATATTAGATACCAACTCGTTTTTAAGGGCTGTGAGCAAGACTGCCCAGGTTCCTTTTCTCATGGCACTCAAATTCCAGAGAAGACAGACAGTAAACGGGGAAAAAATAGTTGGAGAACTTCAATGTTATACATACTCTCTAGTGTATAAATGAGCTGAGGGATAGAGTAACAAGGTGGGGAGAGGGAAGGTGCCTTTGGATAGCATAAAGCTTCTCTGGAAACCTAAAATTGAAAAGGTACCAGCCATGTAACCTAGTGAAAGAACATGTGGGAGTGTGGAACAGCACATGCAAAGGCCGTGAAGTAAAAAGAACCACAATGTTCTAAGAAAAGCAGGATGTCGGTCTGGTGGGACCACGGAGACAAAGGTTGGAGAATAGGGAGAAATGTAGTTAGACAGGAGACCAGATGGGTCTTATAGTAATGATAGCTAATGTTTATTGAGCACTTACTATATGTCAGATACTATTCAAGTAATTTATAGGTATTAATAATTTAATCATCACAATAAATCCTACAACAAAAATACTATTATTATCCCCACTTTGCAGATGAGGAAACTGTTGCCCAGAGTGGTTATGTAACTTTCCCAAGAAGATTGGCTGGTAAGTGGTAGAGCTTAGATTTAAATCCAGGAAATTTGGATCCAGGATCTGAGTTCATAACCACACTGCTATACACTCATCCTCTGTTCAGGGGTTTAGATTTTATTCTAAAAGGAATGAGATTTCATTGAAGGGCATTAAGCAACACAATGAAGGATGTGTTTTATATTCTAAGATGGTCATAATTGTGAATGTGTGGAGCAAAAGGCGAGGCAGAGAGAAGAGTTGAAGGCCATCGTGAGAGTCTAGGTGAGAGAGAATGATGGTGTGGATAAGGGAGGTGATGGTCAGGAAACACAAAAGTAGACATCCTTGGGATGCCTTTTCAAAGTACAGCTATAAGGTCTTGATGACTTAGTCATGGGGTAGGAGGAAGAGAGCCATTCAGGTTCACTTTCAGGTATTTGACCTGGGTAATTTGTTTGGTGGAGAACATGTTTACCAAGTTGGGGAAGAGCAGGGTATAGAAGGGCTATGTGCTGGGTGTTTGAATGTCTAGCATTTATTTCCCTAAAAACACCCCAGTTTCTTGTTGGAGAACACCTCTTTTGGGTTACAGTCAAGCCAAGAGGTAATCTACTGAATTATTCCTATTCTATATTTCCTCCCTGGAATGTGAATCTTGAAAAGAAGGACAAAATTCATCTCCTTCAGGGGCCTTACTCATAAAAATTTTTTATATAAGGCAGTTGCTGTGCTTTCTACTTCCCAAGCTCAGGATTCCAGCCTCCCATCAATTCTGTGAATACCAAAGCCTTCTAGTTCATTCTTTCTACCTAAATTAGCCAGTGCCAGTTCTTGTTGCTTATAACCAAAGAATGTACAGGCTGAAGATCAGGTAGGGAAAGACTACTCAGAACCAAGAGATACATTTTAGACAGGTCAAGCTTGAGATGCCTGTGAGATACATCAAGGAGGCTGTTGGATATATGTACCTGGAGTTCAGGGTTAAGGACTGGGGAGGAATCAGTCTGGGAGTTACCAACATGTAGATGGTATATTAGTGTCTAGTATAATGTCCCATGTCTTTTGCTAAAAACATCCTGGATCTTTTGGGTGACATATTTCCCCTTTTCAGCTAGTAACCTTGATGGGGCTGTTAATCAGAGTGCCAAGCCCTCCTCTGACCAAGTAGGGATCTCAGGACTGAACAGCCAGCGGATACCATCTACCCAGTCACAGTGTTTCTTAAGGGATGCTCAAATGAATTAGGTCAACGCCATAAGAATTAGCCAAAAAAAAAGAATTCTCCTTCTGGAAGAATTGCTAAACTGGTACAATTTTAGAGCTATAGGCCTCTTTGTTTTTAAACCACTTTGGGGCCATAACGTGTTGAGAATGAGGTCAACACTCCAGAAACAGGTTCAAGAGATCACAGGAGAGAGGCAATGTGCGGATGCAGTGCAAAGGCCCTTAACACTGTCATTCCCAAACTAACTCCACAATTACGTGAACCGATAAACCTCCGTTTTTGCTTCAAGTAGTGGAGTTGAGGTTCTGTTACTCACAGCCAAGTGATTTCTGACAAGATCCAATGGCATTTGAAGCCTCACCCCTGGATGAGATCAAACAGTAGGTGGAGAGGAGCACTGAGCCACAAAACACTGTAATCATTAAAGATCCAACAGAGGACGAAACTTCGGTAGACCGCCTGTTGTCTTTGATGACAAATGAGCCCAGAAAGATAAGGTAAATTCATTGCATTGCAGGAAGAAAATCTTTGAGCAGAATTTTGATTTTTAAAAACTGGGTAATAGCAACAGTTTGACAATTCTCAAATTAAAACTTTCCTTATGTTTGAAAATTAAAGAATTCACTTATGATGTGGTATAGCTGCATTATTCCTTCAGTCAAAGGACAGTGCCTCTTTGCTGGAGCTCCAATGCCACTGGGCCATGCCATCTGAGAGAGCAAAGGCTGCCTGCCTTTTGCTGGCACCCAGCTTTCTGAGATGCAAGAATTGAGGGGTTTTGGCCTGGAAAAATCAGACATGTGCAAACTGTTTGTAAATGTGCACAAGCTCTCGGTGGTTTCACTGCTCAAAAACGGAGCCTGCACTCAGGCTCCTTCTGTTGGCCCCTGAATTCACTACAAATGAGACAGATTGGTGTCTGCCACCCAGGCTTTCCATTCTCAACAGCAGCCAGACTGGCACCTTTGTCTCTGAAGGGGATGGTTCCCATGTCAACAGAAGCTCTGCAATGAACTGATCATCTGAGCAAATTGTACAGATTCAGGAGTGGTGGGATGATGAATTCTACCTCATAAGGAACTGAGACAACCAAATGGTGGCTCTGGAGTGGGAAGCCAGTCTCAGCAACAAGAGCTGAGTGATCCTAGAAATTGACAAATGGAAAGATCTGCAGAAACAGTCAAGGAAGAGTCTGCAATTAGAAAGCAAAGTCAGCCTGTTTTATCAGATACAAGAAAACAAGGGAAACTCTTCCTTTTGCAACATGGGAGGGCAAATGTGGAATTCCAGTCATCTGAATCTGGGATGGTGAGACTGAAAAATAGATCCATTCAGCTGGCCCAAGATTTAAGTGGTCTTCATGGATTTTGGGGAAGGCCCATTAACAAGCAGCTTGGTGAAGCACTTACATGCTCAGGCCTTGGAGCCAGGCTGCCTGGGTTCAGTCCTGGGTTCACTACTTGCTTCCTTTTATGATTCTGCTCCTCAATTTCTTCACCTGTAAAATGAATGGCAGTTTTAACCTGGAAAACATTACACTAAAGTGCAAAAAACACCCAGATGCTGAAGACTGATATTGTATGATTCCACTAACATGAGGTACCTAGGATAGGCAAATATTCAGAGCCAGAAAGTAGACTAAAGCTTACCAGGGGCTCGGGGGAGGAGAGAATAGGGAGTTATTATTTAGTGGGCAGAGTTTCTGTTTAGGATGACAAAAAAGCTATGGATATGGATAGTGGCGATGGTTGTACAACATTTTGTATGCATTTAATGCCACTGAAAATAGTTAAAATGAAAAAGGAAAATGGTAACTATGTGAGGTCATGGATATGTTAATTGGTCTGATTGTGGTAATTATTTCACAATGAATACATTGTATACTTTAAATATATGCACATTTTTACTTGTCACATATAACTCAATAAAGCTGAAAAAATGGTTAAAATGGTAAATTTCAAGTTCTGTATGTTTTACCATAATTTTAAAAAATAAATCTGTTGCTACAAGCAATGTTCAGCAAAGATTTCAAAAGAATTAGTGCTCTATGAGGTCCATACATCAAGTTCAAAAAATCATCCATGGTGCTGGAAAGTAGGATATCAATTACCACTGAGGGAGGTCGAGACTGGAAAGGGACTTCTGGGGGTACTGGTAATGTTCTGTTTCTTGGTCTGGGGGTTGGTGGCTTGAGTGGGCTGCATTTGTGAAAATCATTGAGCTGTCACTTAAGTGTAACATTTCAGTTCATACATTTGACTTCAATAAAAAGTGACACCCCCAGGCCCCTGAAAAATGAGGCTGACAGTAATATCTTCCTGGGAAGGGTATTTTGGCATTCACTGAGTTAGAACAGATAACTCACTTGGAACAGTGCCTGGCAGGTAAGGTATCCCCAGGTCTTTAGCAGCAGTATGTAAAACCAAAGATACCACTAGAAAGCTTTCCTGCCAGTCATTGTCCATACCTCCTATGCTTCAAGATACTTTGTATTTGCTTCTCCACACCCCCATTCTGTCTTTCTGCTCCCAAGACTGCTCCGTGGGCCCTCTGACTTTCTAGCAGGCACACTGAGCCAATGCAGTAGAGAGAACCAGTGGGAAATTAGAGGAAGGAAAGAGTGAAGTTGAGGTATGCGTTTCCTTGGTGCCTGTTCTGAGGGGTCCAGGAGGACTGGCTGTGCTCCACAACCAAAGTTCACACTGTTCTGGAGCAGGCCTCTCCACCCAGCTGTCTTTACCCAACTTCTGCCAATTGTTCCCTCCCACTGTCCATTTGGGCTTGGAAGTGGTCATGCCCCACGATTACCGACCCAAAGAAAGATACTGTACTACTCTCCCCGGTGGTTCCTTATGCCCTGCCCAGACCTTCATAAAATGTCTTTTTATTAAAATCTCCTCCAATTTTCCCAGTTTCAGTGTGTCATGTATTTCTACTGGTCCCCTGTCTGCTGCCTACCCTCTGAGAGACCTGTGGAAAGACAGCCACGTATCCTGCGTGAGTCTGCTCGGTCAGGTCACTGGACCAGACATGCTGACTGGACCAGGCATGAGCAGCTGACCAAACTGAACCAACCAGAGGGACTCTGCTGAGAATTTGGAATAGAGCCACAGACACAGAGTGACTCAACCAGAGGAGGGCTCAAGAATTCTAGGATCAGGCAGAGGTACCCGAGTCAGTGCTGTAGTAACCCAAAGCCCTGAGTATGCTGAAGCTTTATTGGTCTGGAGAAGAGGAACAGAGGCAAAGTGTCATGTATTAATCTTGTAAAGGCTGTGATATATTCAAGAAAATGTGTTCTAACAATATACAAGCTAATGTAAAATAATCTAATGTGATTTTCCCAAATATTGAACTGTATCTTTAAAGTTCCTATATATATATAGTTTCTACCAAAGTCATATGAATGAGACTATGTCTAAATATTTACTGCACAAAAGGCAAGATGCTAACTTATTATGAAATCTTGTTAATATATGTGTGTTGGGTCAATATGGTGAGGAGTGGGTAATGCTTTTTAATGAGCTGTGGTTATACATTAGTGAGTTTTCAACTCAGATCCCTAATGAAATACAATGGAATAGAAAATAGAAGGCATTGTGCTTCTAGGAGTAAATATTGTTTTGTGAAGCTTTTAGTCTAGTGATATGTACACTGGATCATCATATGAAAAGTATAAACACTGGGTCAAAAAAGGTTGAAAAATTCTGGTTAACTAAACTCTGTAGTTCAGAAATTACTCTGGTATACTGTCAACATGAGGATGAAAAAGGAAGAAAACAGTAAAGTATAAGTAATTTTATTAACATCTATAGGAATTTTATATTTTGAGACTTAATATGCCCTTCTGCTGATAGTTTTACATTGGTTCTCATCACCAAATTGCTATTTCATTATCTTCTCATTCTTCCCTTCTTTGCAGACTGGAAAAAGTAACAGACTTGATGGTACTGCTGTCATTCAGGAAGTTCCCCAGTTCCTGGAACATCAAAGCCTCTAGGCAAAAGTTTGACACATTTCTGAAAAATTATCTGTTCACAGAGTCATGGTACCTGCATCACAATCAATAAGAGTGAGGTACTTAAAATTCCATATATACATTTCCATAATCAAACATCATATGATCACTGGAATACCCCATAGACAGTGCTTAAATATCTACTTTTTTCAAATACCGCATATTTTAAGAAAGAGATATTATTACATTATTATTCTATTATATTTGATTGGCATTTCTATTTTTAGCTATAAGGATGTTGGTGATAATTATACAGGGTTGGTAATAAATGTTACCAGCAATAATGGTTTAAATTCTGGCCTCCCAAAGATCCAACCACTTGGAACCTCAGATGTGACTTTATTTGGAATATGGGACTTTGCAAATATAACTAAGATACGGGTCTCAAGATGAGACCATCCTGTAGTAGGGTGGGCCTTAAATCAATGGCAAGTGTCCTTATAAGAGACATAAAAAGAGAAGACAGAGAGAAAGCCACGTGAAGACGGACGTAGATTATGGAATTATGAGGCCCCCAAATAAAGAATACTGAGGGTTTCCAGGAACCAGGAGATGCTGGGAGAGCAATGTGGATTGGCTTCTGCCTCAGAGTGAGCAGAGGGAGCCTGGCTCTGCCCGTACCTGGATTCCAGATGTGTGGTCTTCAGGACTTGAGAGAATAAATTACCTTTACTTTCAGCCAACAGCACTGCAGTAATTTATTATTCTAACCCTAGCAAACTAATACAGCAGCTGGATAATTAACTTGTTATTTAAACAAGTACAAAATAATATAAAAAGTAAACTGTGATTGAATAATGAAAAAATCCACGTGTAAGTACACCTCCACAGTTCAAACCTATGTTGTCCAGGGGTCACCGGTATAAATGTGCATCTCCGTGTGCATCTCTGCCCACACATTCTGCCACGTGGGCCACACAGTCAGCTGAAAAACAAACTACTTATGACATTGATTTTTGAAGATTAAGAAAAGTTATACCTCGTATTGAAATGACAGGATGAAACTTTAAACTTTCTATTTAATACACCTCTGAACAATCTGAAAACTTTTAAGTAACGAGCACATCTTACTCCTATAATCCAAAAATAAAACTGTTTTAGGAGACTTCCACCAAGATGGAGGTGTAAGTGAAAGCACTGTACCTTCTTGCACGACCAAGTTTAAAAACAACAAAGTTTTAGCAACAAAAACACAGCCAAACCACAGAAAATTGAACTGGACAACAACGAACCCTTTAGCCAAACCGGTAAGAGGGGCAGGGCCAGCAGCAGAACGGGGGTCGGGCAGGAAAGAGCCACTGGACCAACCCAGGTGCATGACCCAGGTGCGCCAGCAGCCGTGGGCGGATCCCAGGTGTGGAGAAGTGAGCAAACCCACTGAGGGCGCAAGGCGGTGGACCCACTTAAGGCTAATCAAGGTCACACATTCGCACGCAGATAAACCGGTGAAGGAGCGAGCACTGAGACAGACCACGAAGGCCCCAGAGGTGGGAAGCAGCAGAGGGAACCCCTATTGTCCCTCTCTGACCCCACCCCCACATACAGCATCACAAACCAGCGACCTGGGTAGCCCTGCCCTGGTGAACATCTAAGGTGCCTCTCCTCGTACGTAACAGGCACAAACAGATTAAAACATGGCTCAAGAACAACTCAGAGCCCCAGAGCCAATAAATCTAAGTGATGGAGAAATAGCCAAACTTTCAGATGCACAGTTCAAAACACTGGTGATCAGGATGCTCACAGAACTGGTTGATTTTAGTCACAAATTAGAGGAACATATGAAGGCTAAACTAATTGAAATGAAGGGAATTGCACAGGAAACCAATAGTAATGGAAAGGAAACTGGGACTCAAATCAAAGGAGTGGACCAGAAAGAGGAAAAAAGTTACCAAACAGAAAAGGATGAAGAAACAAGAATTCAAAAAAATGAGGAGAGGCTTAGGAACCTTCAGGGCATCTTCAAATGTTCCAACATCCGAATTATAGGGGTACCAGAAGAGGAAGAGGAACAGCCACCAGTGGAAAACTTATTTGAACAAATAATAAAGGAGAACTTCCCCATTCTGGCAAATGCAATAGACTTCCAGGAAATCCAGGAAGCTCAGAGAGTACCAAAGAAGTTGGACCCAAGGAGGAACACTCCAAGGCACATCATCATTATATTAGCCAAGATTAAAATGGAGGAGAGAATCCTAGAAGCAGCAAGAGATAAGGGGACAGTCACCTACAAAGGAGCTCCCATCAGACTGTCAGCAGATTTCTCAAAAGAGACCTTACAGGCAAGAAGGAGCTGGAAAGAAGTATTGAAGTCATGAAATCCAAAGACCTATATCCAAGATTGGTCTATCCAGCAAAGCTTTCATTTAGAATGGAAGGACAGATAAAGTGCTTCTCAGATAAGATCAAATTCAAGGAGTTCATCATCACCAAGCCCTTATTATAGGAAATGTTAAAGGGACTTACCTAAGAAAAAGAAGATA